TTATGCACGGATGTTTGTAAACGATAAACGCAGTATCGTATCATATACCAAGCAATTTGTTTGCTTTCCTTACACATAACTTTCTTTCTGATCCCAAAGCAGGACGAAGGGCGTGCTCTCGATATTATGAAATTTTACGGACTCTACAGGGCGAACTGGGATTCTCTTGGGGCATATATGGCGCCATATGCTGCGAATGCGTTTCCATCTGCGTCTTGGGAATGTTTTTGGCGTTATGTTTCCGTATTAACACCTGCTGTGAACTTCTTCGTTCTTCTCCGCCCATCCGAAGCGTTCCTGGAACGTTGGTATGAGTTTCAATGTGACTCGTACATTTTCTAAATTCACCATGGCGTTGGGCGTAACCCATGACGACCCAAGGAAAATTTCTTACTGAGACCCTATTCAGAAGCTCCTTTTACAGTGATGGCCAACGTACAATGTTGAATCTTTGGAAGCTTTCCAAGATCGTGAATTACGCGATTATTTCTTGAAAATTCAAGCGTATCGTGTCAACTAGAAAATTTTTAAAAGTCACCTTTAACTTCTGAGCATAAATTTGCCATATTTTTATAGCTTAAACATCTCACAATTAAATTATGAAATTTATATCTTAAACATAGAGTTGTTTAGAGTTCGACTTGCATTAAGTCGAATTCAGACTTATAAATAGATTATAAATAGATAGATTTTAATGTTAAAGTTTAATTGTATACTTCTTTCACTTTCAACTATAATCGACTTATTGGAGAGGAAACTAATAATTCGACGCAATTCGATAGATTTTATTACCGCTATCGTAAAAAGGTTTAATTACGTAATTCAGATCAATGCGAACATTGTTGGATCAAATGCTGCTTAAGCTTTTTTCTTCTCATCTTTTTATTTTAAACGGTCCATATGTTCAACCTTCGAACGTGTTGGGAAAGGATTAAACCCTTTTCACCTCGTTTCGAGCGAGCAAAAATATCTCTGTCCATGCTAATACCCGCTGGCGCGATATTTTGCTGCCCCAATCTAAACCTTTAATCTTTATTGGTGAAATAAGTAAAACATAGCTAACAAACTTAACTACTAACTTACGGGATACAAACACAATAAATAAACAAACAAATACAATAATGTACGTTATTTTTTCAAAATCTTGAATTACTTACTTAATTTTTTTTCCAAAAAAAAGATTATATATAATTTTTCATGGTTTTATTACTAAAATATCAGTAGCATTAGTAATATTCGATGAAAACAACAATTCTCTTCAAAGAAAAATTATATTGTATTACATACCGTGGAAATATAGTGGTATTTAAACGCCATTTATTTTTCTCGTTCTAACAGAGAGATTATATTCATATGTAACAATGTATTTCATATTTCGAGATGTTAAATCTCACATTAATATGATAATTAAGATATCTAATATCATACGTATTAAAACACAAATTTATGCGGATGCGCGAGCAACGAAATACTGTACTTTATGTTACGGAGAGAATTTCATATTTTCAGTAAGATCCGATTTTACAATCTTTCAATGCCCATGGAGCAGCATACGTTCGTAGGGAAACATATAACCGTATTCGTAGAACGGCGCGAGGACCTTTCTTTCCTCCAAACCTTTTTCTTTTCTCGATTCGCGATCGCGTTACATGGTTCTGGAATCTTTCCAAGGAGCCGGCTCCACGATTTTTGAGAGCGAAGATTGAAGCGGAAAGTATATGCAAAGTATCTTTGGATTTTCTGAGATTTTTGATACGTTTTTGGGTCTTCTTGTTACTATCGAGGTACAATATGGACTACAATCTTCTCGTTGTTATGTGAAGAATTTTTTCAAAGTTATACTATTTCAAGTGAGGCATATCTATCGTCGCTTTAACAAAAATGTTTTAAGTAACATGTATGATAATACGTAAGATTTCAATAAAAAATGCTACAAAGAAAATCTCTTTACTTCTTAAGAAAACTTCCAATATTATAAGAATAATTAAACTTATTTAGAATAATTGTGGTTATATTTTCCAATGCTATAAAATTCGATAATCTCAAAATTCCCACCAATTAACAATATCCTAATTGTTAGTTACAATTTCCCATTCAATAATATAACTGTTACATACAATAAGTTACGTACAATATTATATTACAGTTACATTATTAAGTAGGAAATTATAACAGTTATATTATGTTAGTTGATGTTTGCTGAATTATTAACAAATCATACATACTATTACTGACTTTCCTTATTACTGCAATTAATTTAACCTGAAATTAATTTAATCTGAAAAGTAATATTGTATATTAATAAGCAGGATAAATAAAATAATAATATATGACAATAAATAGAAATAAAAATATAACTTATGCATTACAGAAAAAAATAGAGAGATAGAGAGAAAGTATACAATAAAAGATGCTCATTACATTGTAGTGGACTAAACTTCCAATAATACTGTGAAATCAACAAGTATTAAATTCATTTCATTTTTATTATTGCTCATTCAACGTTTCTGACTTTCTAGATTATTAATATCATGTAACATAAAAAAAATTAAAGTACGATAAAAAACCAAAATAAAAAAATTTTTTATATCTACTAGCTATTATCGCATATGTAAAAAAAAAACTCTAGTAAAGTACATAAAATTAAATAAAGTATAAGAATATGATGTACATCTCAATGTACTCGTTATTAATTTTATATATTTAGTTAACAAATTGAAAAAGAACACAGCCTCGGCCATATTATTAAATCTCATGGTATTATTAAATTTTCCGTCATGCCTGCGCCATTTTACTCGGTGCTGCAGGTGCTGCCTGCGCTATATTTTATTACATTAAATCATACTGGAGATACAATTACAATTTCTGTCTTTAGAAAGCTTTGCACGTTTCCTCTTATTCAGCGACCTATTTCGAGAACGTCCCTACCATCCGTCTTGGCAAGGCCGACAGTACGAGAAAATTTAATGAACGTGACTAGATCTTATCGAAGCGCGGCGGGAGTATGGCGAAGTCAACTTGGAACTGGGGAAAGATTGGCAGCGCGCACCGTGTCGCCAGTTTATATAAGACGACACACTGACTTTTACAAATTTTCTCGCGCCGAAAAGCAATCCACTGCAGTTTGCCTTATTCTTTTACATCTCCGTCGAATAAGAATTACTTACCATAAGAGTTACTCTTGTAATTTAACTTTCGGATAAATCGTTACTTTCCTCGAAGCATCGTTCAAGTTCACATTCTTCCATCGTAGGTTTAAATAGCGTTAAATAGCTTTTCGGTTTTCTCTCCCTACAGGATTACAATTTATTACCAATCTTAATGGACGATAAACCAGCAATCTGTGGTACAGTAAGAGCTTGCAAAAAATCGAAACGGATACAACGAGTCCCAAATGAATAGAGCGCGGACGGAAAACGGGTTAAGTTATATAACCGAATTTACTGACGTCTACTTTAGAGTGTTTACGCCTCTCACGAGAATACCCCGGATACCGGACGATTTGCATCGTTAGATTTTAATTACGCATAAGTTCCGGACGCATTTAAGAGTCGAGGGCAGAGCGAAAAAGGAAAGGGGAGAAAAACGGGATAAAAACCTGAGTTTCAAGTACATTAAAGCATCTCGCTGGTTTCCTAGGAGATTCGACGTAGACAAACGGCCGGATTACTTCTCTCACGAAGCGAAAAGCGCGGCCGGATAGAACGGTGAGTTACTCTTTTTTTTTTGTTTTCAAAGCCGACTCCGAGTTGCCAGCCAGGGCTTAATCAGTTGTTAGCCCAACCTGGCCAATTGAAAGTTGGTGAAAATTAAAGAGAGCTTCAAGGGACGGTATCCGGGCTAATCCCTCAAGGGACTCGCGATTCGCGCCGGCGATTAAACCGTGTCGCAAAATGAGAAAAGGAATCGTACCGGGAAGTTACGCTTTCGTATCGACGTTGTCGTAAAAGCCAGTTCGCAGCGTGCAATGTCGCTCTGTAAATTGCGGCTCTCATATGTTGTACTTTCTGCCTCTCGCTGCGTCGCAGTGTCGCGTAAAAAGTCGCCGTACGAACGACTTTAATTTACGTCCACGAGCAACGATAGCACGTCTGAGACTAAAAACTATTCCACGCGTGCGTTTGGTAAATCTGATTAAATGCAACATTGCACTCGACTGTAAATTGCTCGCCTGAGACGTTAACGCTGCATCTCATCCTACATGCTTGTAATATATACTTTATGATAGCCACGTCGCTAGGAAGCGACAACAAAGTTGCTTGATTATAAAATGATTGCGGGAAGATTTTGTTATTTATTTTTCGTACTTTAAATAAATGCAAATATAAAATACTTTTCTTCTGGGCAGAATAATTCCTGTTTCTATGGCTTACGGTGTTCGCCGCAGTAGAATTTTCATTATTATGATAAAAAAAAAACACGATATATTATTATTACTCAAAAAGAGAGTTTTGTTGAAGCATTTAAAAATTTAGCTAGATACAGATATGAAAATAATTTTGTTTGGACTATCAAAAGAGTTGTGTAAAATATTTAAATTGGTTGCTAGAATGTTAAAACTTTTTACTTTTGTACCTTTGTCATCTGTATCTATTATCATCAACGTTACACATAACTATTTTGATGATCCAACAAAATTATTTTGGGATCTATATGTAGTTAAATTTTTTAATATTTCAATAAAATTGTTCTTTCCATATATGTAATATAGTTAAATATGATTTTATTTCACACATGACACAAATTGTGCATTTTTTACTTTACGTTTGCTATCTAAATTTTAACTATTCAAAATTTTATTAAATGGCTTTTATTTTTTAGAGTTTTAAAAAATTTCGATAGTGTCGACCAGCAATGACCATCATGGCAATTAAACGCGTTCTGTTCCAGAGATTTTCGGATACTATCAAATCTTTTGCACGCCGCAATAACTACTCGCGTTCGTCCCGATTTTTCAGCGTCACTAATTGAAGCGGTTTCCGCATGGTTCCTTGTTACAGAGGCACCTCGTGGGACGTATCTGCTGATAGATGGCCGCCGGCTAGATCCTGGAAACCAGTTTGTGCCGGTGAAGGAGGGCTCGGAGCTCACTCTCGAGTGCGCGGCTGAGGGTGGAAACCCACCGCCCATCCTGGCGTGGGGCATGACCTTGTCTCAAGCCACTTTAGACGGCCCAGAACAACCGCCAGACAACCTCACTGTATTGCCCTCAACATCCGGCAGACGCAGCGGAGCTCACCTAAAGGTCTTGAGGGGACATCACAACGCCACTATCGTTTGTGTCGCCCGCCACATTACGCTGATGATACCAATGAATGCCAGCATTCTGCTCGACGTCCAATGTGAGTATCGACAATACGAAATTGCATTAACTGTATTACGTTCAAAATAATCTTTGATGCGAAAATGACGAACGCAATTCGTCTTTTATTTATCTTTTTCTTAAAACTAAATAAATTTAAGAGAGTAATATTTTTCTTTAATAAAATTGAAATTATCGTTTCTTGTTACTCTTTAATTTATTAAATTTCTTAGTAGAGGCACTTTGAGTGATTTTTATCAAAATAAATTGACTAAAGATCAAAAATGGAGTTTTGTCATCTGTTTACTTCTCTGAAAATATTTTTTTTTAATTTTTAATTTAAAATATCTATATAATTAGACTTCTCTGAAAATTCACAACAAACCGGTACGGCAGAATACAAAAATAACAGAAAATAATCAGCAGTTATCATACATATGCATGAGTTTAAATTGCGTTTTGAGATAGAGCCAGTGTGAAATAATTCTACCACAGGTCGTTTTTACTCAGGAATTGACGGGCGCACGAGCCAGGGAAATTTCCGCGATATTAAACCTAGTTGCGCGCTATCATGCCGGAAATGAGTAACGAGTAATGTGTGTTGAGGGCGGCAGACGAGTCGTGTGCCCATCGAAACTGAAATATAAACTTAATTAAGTCTGAATCCGGCGGCACTTGCGACTTGTTTTAAGTGAGCTCGTGAACTGGGAAGAAACGACTCCGTGTTGTATTTGAAGTGCGACGACCGTGTTACAAGAGCCTGCGTAGAAAGAGGTTGCGGTGTCGGCATTGGGGAAGTCTCGGGGTGAGCGACTTTCAGGGGTGACGCCGTGTATTATGCGACGTGGAGGTAGTTTATTTTGCGTCGTTGCGCCTCTTTCGCCACTCTCGCATCCAACAGTCGCGGTCGGAAAGTCTCCCCCGATTCGCTCTCTTCGTCGCCCCTACTTTGGGGAGTGGCCCAAGTCACCGAAAGAAGCTTCTCCAGCCGGTTTCGAGGCAAACTCCGAGGGATTAACGGGAGTTCCGCAGCGCGGACAAAAACCGGTAGAAGCGTGCGAGCGCGCGCTCGCACCACCCCTGCGCTCTTTTTACCGCACGTCGCCTCTTCGGGCGTTTAGGGGAGGCTCGTCGAGGCGAGACCGCGAAGATATATCACCCGAAACTGGTTTCCTCCGCCTTCTCTTCTTCTTCAACAGGAGAAATTCTCGGTCATCTCGTTTTCGCTCCTGTGAGATACAGAGCAGAGCGTATTCGCGATCCTCGTTCTCGATCAGTTTCCCAAATTAAAAGTAAATAAGGAGTGATTTTTCAGATATCTAGTTTTTATGTTGAAAGGAAATACATCATACGTGGAAAATACAGCATTGTGTTGGAAAACGAAAATTTCGAATAACTCAAAGTATAATTCTTGAAAAAATAATTCAGTAATTCTTGGATCTTGCATTATGACGAAGCTATAGTCTTATAAGAAAAGAAACATTACTTTAATTTCAATAATAATAAATTAGGAACTTGTCTGCATTTAGGACTGACGAACAAATGTCCTGTTATGAGCCACAATTTGGGAAACTCTGCTCCAGATTATACGAAGTCTGCCTCAAATTCCGCCGTTGCGGACAGTTCTTCTTTGTGGTAGGTGCAAGGAGAGCCCATTGTACGCCGACATTACTTCGCTCTTTTAATCCTTTCACGCCTGTCCAAACGTCGCGTCGTCCGACGACCCGAGGCTGAACGAGCTTCCCGAGAACTTACTCCACGAAGAAGAAAGTTCGCTGCGAGTCGTTTAACCGCTGGGGAAAAAGATGGCAAAGATATCCGAGACACGTGAATTTTCCGTCGGGAATTTTCAAGGACACCACCGATCGATTGCGTGATTAATGTTGCCGTCTTGTAATGAACCTCGAATGCTCGTCTTGGGAATGATACTTATCTAACAAACTAGATAGGTAACTAGAATTTATTTCACGTTGGAGTATCAGATTTTTCGGAAAATATAATATAAAGATGAAAACGTAAATGGACGAAAAAAATAATAAAATAAAATAAACGATGCACATTTTCAATTTGTTTAATATTCATCGCAATTTTTCTCCTCGCAATATTTTCTTCAACTTGATTTGAGAATTTTCGCGCTCGTCATCGAATTTGCGGTGCGGATATCTAATTTCAAAGACGATACGGGCATGAGCAGTCGGGCTGAAACGTCTTGAGGATGCAAATTTTCTAGACGAACAGCTTGCACGCTTGGCGTCTTAGACGGAAGAGAGAATGCGGGTGCCTTACGGGCGATAGTGATATCGTACCGATCGGCTGTACGTCTTTCTTCTCTCTCTCTCTCTCTCTCTCTCTCTTTCTTTACTTTTTTGTCACGAATTTATTCCAGCCGTACTTACGTACCTCGGCTGTCGCGCCGAGGACAGGACAGAAGAGGTACATTTGTCGGCATCTGAGCGAGCAAATTTTCCGGTAGAACGGTCGCTAAAGGCGCTTGGGATGTCCTGGGACGCCTTTATGATACCGGGGCGAAAGGGGAACCCACGTGGTGACCCACTTTCCATATCGTTGCGGCGCATCGCCGTTTGTCATTACGCGTAATGCAGGCTATTACCGGTTGTCATCGCTGGGTCCCTCCCCGTCCCATATCGAATAAATGATTTTACTTTTAAATCGCACCGCGCGGCCGACAACGCGATTAATCATCGTGGCGCGTTTGTCGTTCCGAGTCGAGTCGCGCGGGCGGATGCGACCGCGGCTATTTTACATAAGTTCGACTCTCCCGACTAAAGTATTCGATTTGTACTTGCCGGCGACGGCCGGAATCGCGATCGGATTCGCTATAAATCACGCTGATTTTTGGCGACATTCGTTATTTGCAACTGACCCGTATACGCGCGGCGGCAACTTCCGGAACGGTCTCCACAGCCCGACAGTGCGCTATGAATATGTAGCGAGCGTAGCCGTAAAATTGTAACCGCAGTTGGATACACGAGCGAGCAAGACAAGCTTCATCTCAATGCTCATTCTAATCGATCTATGCGTGTTCGTTTCGTTAAACCGAAGATTCGCGCTATGAATGATGAAGAAGTTTCGGAAAAAGCTTATTATTCTTTTATGCGGTAATTATCAAAGTATCCTGAAACTTTGTCCATCTTAATTCTTAGCGGATATCGTCGGAACTTCCAACTTCGACATTCTTAGGCTTTTATGTACAAGTTATAAAAAGTGATTAAATTATTCGTTGTATCATAAAGTTCAACAGATATCTAAATCAAGTATATACTAAATAGTATACAGCTATTTTACTTTTACTGATATTGTTAAAATAATTTATTTAATTTAAATAAGTTTGTATACTTTTGATAACACTATATAGATTATATAGAAAGTTATTTTTTGTATGCTCTGATATATTCATTATTGTTGTTTTCATTATTATTGAGCTATACGGCATAAAGAGTTCTAAAAGGGAAAACGATATTCTCACGGAGATGTAATCTCGCAAAGCTTTGTATTAAATCGTCAGTTATGATAACAAATAATAACACTTGTATGTATTTGCACTTGGAATACTGAAGTACTAATTGGCACTTCAGGAATCTCTACATCGTGCCGTTGTTGTCGTACGGAAACACTACTGAGTCGTCCTTGTTAGTTACAATGAGAATTTAATCGCTCTGAAAGAGCACACAAATGCAATAGTATCCTACATAAGTTATGACAAAGCACTGTTTGCACAGTCGCCATTCGTAATCCGATTTCAGCTTTGAAGAAGTAATTGCTGCAGATTTGTCGGGTCAATGTGTCAAATAATTAATGCTCCGTCGACGAGTAACTCTCTTCTGTGCATATATTACGTTCAAAACAATTATTAAAATACATTAATAGATTCTTGTTTATCACAAAAGAAAAAATATTCGATATTTACAATAAATCTATTAAATTTATGACTGCAAAAATACGACTGTTATAGATATTGAATAACAATAGGAAGCAAAAAAAGAATAAAAACTTCAATATTTTTTTATTTGATGATATTGAAAAGTATTGTGCCATGTCTTGCTTACAACTATTAATTATTTAAATACCTGAATATATAGGTTGCTCGAATTTTTTGGTCGAGATTTGTTTCCTCAGCCATGAAGAAGATATGCAAATAACGTAATCATCATGCTTATCGTGTTCGACTTCTGAAACTTTTTTGATCACTCTCAAACGCGACGTATTTGATGCGCGTAACGTTCAGAGAAGGACCAACATTCGTTTAAGTTCGCGTGAAAGTTCACGATATTGGCATGGTACTTCGGTTAATAAGATGCAAAATACTTGGGAACTAGCCGTCGCCAAAGACGACAAGCGGGCGAAGATCAATATGCATTCTAGTCATGAAACGTAGAAGTCTCGTCAAAATGACATAATCTACCTGCAAAAATTACAATCGTATTTACATAAATTTCAGAATGTACGCCTAAGTCAATTTTTATTCTGAAAAAAGATATTATGAATCTTTCTATGTAGCAAATACGAAAATCTCGATTTTTTTAGATTATATTAATAAAAAGTTTGATATAAACTCACAATTTTTTGACATTTAGTACACGTATTTCAATCAAAATGTTCTTTTGTATAAATTAATTAACGTGAGCAAAAATTAAAAGTAATTTACCTTAGCTTTAGCTTTTGTAACATACCTTGATCAGAGACTGTATTTAACTATCATCTAAAATCGTAAAATACGATATGGTATTTTACTTCTAATTTTTAATTTTATCACTATTTGATCAAATTTATACTTTTGTTATATGCTTGCCTTTCATAAAATCCGTTTTATTAAAAATTGTTTTCTTTCTCTTTGTCTCTCTTTCTCTCTCTCTTCTCACACGTCTCTTTTCTACATTGCAAAAAAAAGCATGAATAAATAAATCATGAGATTGAACGTTGAAAACTACTGGCATTTTCCAACATGCAACAATTGTTTTATCGCACCTGTCAACAATATTTACTAACGACAAACAACGAGAAAATATTTTACTTGAAATT